GGGAGAACCAAATCTCATGTGAATGCTGCCCTCATAAGAGGAAGGAGCACCTGAGAAGTATATGCAGAGAGAAAAGACACAAGGAGGTTACTGTCTGCAAGCCAGGGGGAAGACCTAGAAGAAAACATGCCACTAACACCTTAATCAAAGACTCCCAGTCTCCAGTACTGTAAAGAAGGAATTGTATGTCATTTAAACCACCCATTTGGTGGTATTTTACTGTAGAAACCTTAGAGGATATTATACCGTATGTCTACCCTAGTACTTTGGTTTGATAACTGCCATTATAGTCATCATTAAAGCATCTTATTTTTCACATATTAAATACTTCATATTGCCCTGGAATGAGATTTCTTCAATCTCTTGATTATTTAAGAAATAAAATTCCATGCCTTCTTATATACATAATGATATAAAACAATGCCTTAGGCAGGCTATTACATGAAGTGCCTCAGTGAATAAATGTCTAACTTACATGACTGCTCAGGCTAAGCCTTGGCAGAGAGAATTTTTCTTATAGACATCTATGTGCTTTAAGCTGTTAAATATTCAGGCAAAATGTGTGGGCTTGAAAAACAGTAGTAGATTGATTTAAGTTATTAAAGCTTAAGAAGCATTGCAAAAAATCATTAAATCCATTCTTATTAAAATCCACATTTTCTAAACATCTTCTCTTAAGAATAAATAAAATGCAAGAGACCACAGATGCCAGCTCAGACTACTGGGCAAAGCATTCAATCGCTATAGATGGAGAAAATAGGATATTCCATGACAAAACCAGATTTAAGCAATACATATCGACAAATCCAGCCCTACAGAAAACACTGGAAAACTCCAACCCAAGGAACTTAGTTACACTCACAAAAACATAGACAATAGATAATCCCACATTACCAAAAGCCAAAAAAGGAAAATGGGGGGGGACACACACACACACACACACACACACACACACACACACACACACACACGCACAACCACCACCAAAAGCAATGTTCATTAATATCCCTCAGTATCAATGGTCTTAACTCATCTATAAAAAGACACAGGCTAGCAGAATGGATACAAAGACAGAATCCATCCTTCTGCTGCATACAAGAAACACACCTCAATTTCAAAGACAGATGTTATCTCAGAGTAAAGGGCTGGTTAAAGATTTTTCAATCAAATGGACCTAAGAAACAAGGTGGTGTATTTATCCTAATAGCCAAATTAGACTTCAAAATAAATTAATCAAAAGATATGAAGAAGGTCATTTCATATTCATCACAGAAAAATCCATCAAGATGAAGTCTCAATCCTGAACATCTATGCCTCAAATACAAAGGCACCCACATTCATAAAAGAAACATAACTAAAAATTAAAACACACATAAAACCCCTCACACATACAGACATACAGTGGGAGATTTCAACACCCCACTCTCACCACTAGACAGAACTACCAGACATAACAAAGAAATAAAGGAACTAACAGAGGTAATGACCCAATTGGGTTTAACAGACATCTATAAAACATTCCATCCAAACACAAAAGAATGTACATTCCTCTCAGTGCCATATAGAATCTTCTCTAAGATTGAATACATACTGGGCAAGAAAGCAAATCTCAACAGATATAAAATAATTGAAATAAGCCCCTGTATCTTATTGGATCACCATGGTTTCAAGTTAGAATTCAACAACAACACAAATCGAAGAAAGCCTACAAACTCATGGAAACTGAACAATGCTCAATTGCATCATTCCTGGGTCAAGAAAGAAACAAAGAAATTAAGGACTTCCTAGAATTCAATGAAAATGAAGACACAACATACCCAAATTTATGGGACACTTTGAAAGCTGTGCTAAGAGGAAAATTCATAGCACTAAGTGCCTGCATAAGGAAACTGGAGAATAATCACACTAGAGACTTAACAGCTTACCCGAAAGCTCTAGACCAAAAAGAAGAAAACTCACCCAGGAGGAGTAGATGCCAGCAAATAATCAAATTGAGGGCTGAAATCAATAAAGTTGAAACAAAGAAAACAATACAAAGAATCAATGATACAAAGAGTTCGTTCATTGAGAAAATCAACAAGATAGACAAATGTTTATCTAAAGTAACCCTAAGGCATAGAGTTAATATGCAAATTAACAAAATCAGAAATGAAAAGGGGGACATAACAACGGACACTGAGGAATGCCAGAGAATCATCAGGTTATACTTTGAAAACCTATACTCCAAAAATTGGAAATTTTAAATGAAATGGATAATTTTCTGGATAGGTATTACTTACTAAACTTAAATCAAGAACAGATAAACAACTTAAATAGACATATACCCCCTAATGAAATAAAAGCAGTTATCAAAAGTCTCCCAACCAATAAAAGCCCAGAGCCAGATGATTTCAATGCAGAATTCTACCAGAAATTCAAAGAAGAGCTAATACCAATACTCGTCAAATTGTTCCACACAATAGAAGCAGAATGGGCATCACCAAACACCTTTTATAAGGCTACAATTACCTTGCTACCCAAACCATGCAAAGACATGACTAAGAAAGAGAACACAGACCAATCTCCCTCATGACCATTGATTCAAAAATACTCAATAAAATACTGGCAAATCGAATCCAAGAAACATCAGAAAAATCATCCACCATGATCAAGTAGGCTTCATCCCATAGATGCAGGTATGTTTCAACATACAAAAATCTGTCAATGTAACCCACTATATAAACAAACTGAAGAAGAAAAACCACATGATCAACTCACTAGATGCTGAAAAAGCCTTTGACAAAATCCAACACCCCTTCATGGTAAAAATCTTGGAGAGGTCAGGGCTAAAAGGAACATAACTAAGCATAGTAAAGACAATATACAGCAGGCCAACAGCAGACATTAAACTAAATGGAGAGAAACTCAATGCAATTCCCCTAAAATCAAGAACAAGACAAGGCTGTTCACTCCATATTTCTTCAACATTGTACTTGAAGTTCTAACTAGAGCAATAAGACAACAAAAGGAGATCAAGGGGTTACAAATTGGAAAGGAAGAAGTCAAACTTTCATTTTTTGCAGATGATATGGCAGTTTACATAAGTGGATGGAAAAATTCTACCAAGTAACTCCTACAGCTGAAAAACACCTTCATTAAAATGGCAGGACACAGTCAACAAGACAAAACAGCAGCACAAAACATGGGAAAAGATCTTTACCAATCCCACATCTGACAGAAGACTGATCTCCAAAATATACAAAGAACTCCAGAAGTTAGTCACCAAAACACCAAATAATCCAATTAAAAAATGGGGTGCAGGTATAAATAGAGAACTCTTCAACAGAGGAATCTCAAATGGCTGAAATGCACTTAAGAAATTGCTCAACATCCTTAGCCATCTGTAAATCAAAACAAGTCTGAGATATCATCTTACACCTGTCAGAATGGCTAAAATAAAAAACACCAAAGACAGTTTATGCTGGAGAGGATGTTTATAAAGGGGGACACTCTTCCTTGGCTGGTGGGAATGGAAAGTTTTATGGCCACTTTGTAAATCAGTATGATGGTTTCTCAGGAAAATGTGTATCAGTCTACCTCAAGATCCTCTAATTCTACTCTTGGGCATATATCCAAAGATTCACATTCATACCACAAGGACATTGGCTCAACTATGTTCACAGCAGCATTATTTGTAATAACCAGAACCTGGAAGCTACATAGGTGTCCCTCAACTGAAGAATGGATAAATAAAATGTGGTACAGTTAAACAATGGAGTACTATTCACTGGGAAAAAAAATGATACCTTGAAATTCGCAGGCAAATGGATGGAACTAGAAGAAACCATCCTGAGTTCGGTAACGCAAACACAGAAAGATAAACATGGTATGTACTCACTCATAAGTGGATAATAGACAGAGCAAAGGATAACCAATGTACAATCCAAAACCCCAGCGAAGCTAAGAAACAAGGAGGATCCTGAGAGAATGGACCACCCTGAGAAGGGGAAAGGGACAAATCTCATGAGTAAATTGGGAGCCATGGGGAAGTGGGAAGGAGGTAGGAGAAAACGGAGGGGAGGAGGGGACTGGGAGGAGAACATGAGGGATCAAAAAGGTTGAATTGGAAGAAAGAACAGAGAAGGAGAGCAAAGAAATCGATACTTTAACAGAGCAAGTCGTTATGGGCTTAATGAGAAGTCTGGCACTAGGGAAATCTCCAGGGATCCACAAGGATGACCCCAAATAAGAATCAAAACAATAGTGGAGAGGCTACCTTAAATGCCCTTCCCCTATAATGAGATTGATGACTACCTTAAATGACATCATAGAGCCTTCATCTAGTAACTAATGGAAGCAGAAGCAGAGATTCACAACTAAGCACTGAGCTGAATTCCTGGAATCCAGTTGCAGAGAGGGAGGGGTGATGAGCAAATGGGTCAAGCCCATGCTGGAGAAAACCATGACAACAGCCGACCTGAGCAGGTGGAAGCTCATGGACTGAACCAGGACCAAACCAGGACCCCTGTACTTGGGGAGCCTGAGCATTCTATGGGGTCTCTGGCAGTGGAACTAGTATTTATTACTAGTGCATGAATAGGCTTTGGGAGCCAATTCCCTATGGAGGGAAACTTTCTCAACCTAGATACATGGGGGAGGGCCTAGGTCTTGCCTCAAATGATGTGCTATACTTTGATCATCCCCCGTGGGAGGCCTCACCCTCCCTGAGGAGTGGATGGGGGTTGGGATTCTGAGTTTGTAGGGGAAATGGGAGGACAGGAGAGAGAGGGAACTGGGATTGGTATGTAAAATAAGATTGTTTTTAATTTAAATAAAAATTAATTTAAAAAGAGTAAATAAAATGCACAAAATAATTTTAATTGGGATATAATCATTGTTCATAGCAATGGGTTTCATAAAGACATATGCTCTGACCATGGTCACATTCTATGACCTCTCTTTTCAGAAAAAAATAAATTTAAAATTTTAACCTGTTAAAGTTAAGACCTTGTTGCACTTACCTTGTTTGAATATGGAAGTTGTTTGTTGTTCCTGTATGCTCAAAGTCATGAATGGCAGCTGCAAAAACCATTGCTAAAATTTCCAGTTCAGTGAGCCAGTGCTAGCAAAGGAAAGAAACATCTCATCACATTCAACATCTTTATCATCATTTCTTTTTATGGGAAAGTCTTTAGTGTGCTCAGAATGCAATGTCATAAAACAATGTTATGTTTTGTTCATATAGTTTTCCCTTTCACTCAATTAATTGTGAATAATGGATGCTTCATGAAATCAATGATTGTTTAATTCTTTGTAAGTTCAAAATTAAATCCAAAATGTTATCACCCTTGCTTCTTAGAGAAAGAGTTGTTTTCTGTTGTTTGGAAGGTTGACTCAAATGGATTTTGAAATTACACCTTTACTAGATTGGGGCCTTATTACATAAATTATAATATAGTGGTCTTTTAACATAGAGTTCACCTTCATTAAAATGTATATTTGAATAATTGTTGAAGACCCCATGAAAACAAATTTCCATTTAAAGTTGAAAGTACTTATTGCTTCAAGAAAGAAACTGAACTTTGTTTTTGTATTTAAGGATGTGGGAAAGTTTCTGAAAATTTACCAAATTTTGTATTTATAGCACATACATTACCATTCCATGAAACTTGATAATGAAAAAGGAAAGAATAATTGTTTCCATGAAAAATCCAGATCCATCTATTTCAAATACATTGACTTTTCTTTTACCAGTTGTCTGATATGATTTATCTACTGCTATAGCTTATAGAATAATTCAATACATTGTTCATCACTCAATTCTGTATAACACACAATAACACAGGTGACAACTAAAAATAAATAAAACATAATAGAATTAAATTCACTGCCCCATTGTAGTAGGCATGTTTCACATGTTCAATGATCACACTGGGAAAGTGATTTCACATAGAACAGCTAAGACACAACAAGACCATCAAGAAATGTTCTTTTGGACAAGTTCTTCAAGAAGATAGGACTTGCATTTGGAAAAGGGGTTCCTTTGTGTATATGCCCAAGAGTAGTAATGCTGAGTCTTGAGATAGTTTGATTCCCAATTTTATGAGAAACTGCCATACTGATTTCCAAAGTGGCTGTACAATTGTGCACTCCCACCAGCAGTGGAGGAATATTCCCCTTACTCTTCATCCTTTCCAACATAGACTATCATCAGTGTTTTTATCTTAGTCATTCTGATTCAACTATGTTCATAGCAGCATTAATTGTAATAGCAGGAATCTGGAAACAACCTAGATGCCTGTCAAGCAAAGAATGAATAAAGAAAATGTGATACATTTATACAATTGAATACTACTTAGCTGTCAAAAAAATGAAATGTGCAGGCAAATGGATGAAATTAGAAAACATCATCCTGAGTGAGGCAACCCAGACCCAGAAAGACAAACACAGTATGTACTCACTCATATGTAGATACTAGATGTAAAGAAAAAATAACCAGACCACAATCCACAGCTCCAGAGAAGCTAGGTAACAAGGAGGACCCAAAGAGGGAAACCTATGGATCGCTTTAGGAAGGGGAAATAGATGAGATCTCCTGGGTAAACAGGAGGTGTGGGGCAGTAAAGGGGGACAGGATGAGGGATGAGAATTTGAGGGAACAGGATGGTCAAATTGGGGGAAGGATGGAGTGGGAGAGCAATGAAAGAGATAGAAGGAGCTATTATGGAATAAAGGAGAAACCTGGTGCTAGGGAAATTCCCAGGAATGTACAAGGATGACCTCAGCTAAGAATCCTAGCAATAGTGAAGAGCATGCTTGAATTGGCCTTCCCTTGTAATTAGATTGGTGACTACCCTAACTGTCATCATAGAACTTTCATCAACTGATGGAAACAGATGCAGAGATCCCCAGCCAAGCACCAGGCTGAGCTCCAGGAGTCCAGTTGAAGAGAGGGAGGAGTGATTATATGAGCAAGGGAGCTCAAGAGTATGATGGGGAAACCCACAGAGACAGCTAACCAGAACTTGCCAGAGCTCATGGGCTCTAGACCAACAGCTGTGGAGCCTGCATGGGACTGAACCAGGCCCTCTGCATGTGGACAGGAGTTATGTAGCCTGCTCTGTTTTTGGGAGCCCTGGCAGTAGGACCACAATCTATTTCTGATGTATGAAACCATTCCCTATGATAGGATGGCTTGTTCAACCTAATTGCAGGGGGAGGAGCTTGGTTCTGCCTCCACTGAATGTGCCAGACTTCGTTGACTTCCCCCCGGAGGACTTAACCTTTCTGAGGAGTGAATGGAGAATGGGTTGGGGCAGAGATCAGGAGGACAGGGGGCAGGGAGAACTGTGGTTGGTATATTAAATGAATAAAATATTAAAAAAGAATAAGGAGTTCTAAAGTGAGATGGAGTTTTCTCTTGGACATTTTTTGTCCTTATGAAACACATAACCTAAACCCCATACCCATGCATGCACATAAACATACATTTATACATACATACATACATACATACATACATACATACATACTCATACAAGCACATACATCCACACACATTATGCGTGTTTGAGTGTCAGATGAAATGAGGTTGAGAAGAGGATGAAGAGTATGAAACCAGCTGATGGTCTACAATGAGTTGAGATTTCATCTAAAAGGCAGGCAGAAGCCACTGAAGGTCTGTGAGTCAGCAATGGGGTACTCTGAGCTCACTGGGCTATGTTTCTCTCACAGAACCAACTGCAGACTTTGGCACCTACCGGGAACTACTGCTTGTACACTTAAAGCTCATCAGTTTAGCATAAGAAGGAAGTAGTGGGAGCAGTGGAAGAGAGCACAGGTGAGTCTGAAAAAGTGAGATGTTTACTATCTAAGCTACAGATCCTGTGAACTTCCAAATTTTTTAGTAAACTTATGTGCTATCAACACCTATCAACACCTTGCCCAATAGCTGAATACAAAGCAAAGGGCACTTTACTGCAGTTATTACTTTATACTGCCAAGTGTTAAATCTAGAAGATGACAACTGGCATGCCTTAACTGACTTCACTTGAAATATGAAAGTCCTACATGCAGGCAATGACTTTCAGAACCGAAGGGACTTAGTATAACTAGGTGTTTGATGCATGCACTCACTCACTTGAGAGGCTTTAAAAGGACGAAAGTGACCTTACTAATAGCCTGTGTTACAGATTGAGCTGGGATTGAGCCTCCAGAGTTCCCACTGAGACCATGGAACTAGACACAATGAAGTGAATAGAAATGAAATTAAAACAGTTGGTACCCCCAGAGACCCATTGTTTTATTAAAGAAGGTTTCTGAAGGAACAGAAGCCACTGATCGACTTTAAGTATCTCTTATTAATTGTATTTATAGTTTTAAGTAGTTGGGGGAGAAAAGCAACATTCAATATCTATTGTGATGATATCAAATATAATGCTGCAAAGCAAATTTAGAGATGGAATTTTAATCACAAACTAGCTCATAATTATTTAAAATTATTATATACCTAGCTATTAAAATTGATTTTAAATGTATTTCCTGTTTTGCTCCTAGTTAATCATTGCCTCCCCCAAAGAGAAGGTTCTCCATGAACTCCACTTAATTATTACTGCTACAGTCCTATTGATTTTGTTTATATGAGAAAATAATTTAGGAATATAGAAATTTTGACATTCAATTGAAAAATATCTTTTTTGTATTAGTAATTTTGCAATGACTGCTAGCTCCTTCATGGCTGATTCACTTATTGGTGGTGGTGAAAGCATTGATAGCTAAGGAAACATTTAAGTTTGTATATTTCTAAAATAATTCTTGGGGACATAAGAGATCAGATCATATCACACCTCCCATCTGGAACAGAACTGAGTACAACAACGGGGCTCTGCTAGTTCCTGAAGGGCAGAAATCCAAGGTTAAAATGAGGAGCCATGAGCAATGTAGATTCAGCCTCTCATCTAAGCTGCAAACAGTATGTGCCCTACAGTAGGGATCAGGACAATGTATTCTCAAGTGGGTGGGCCTCAGGCACTCAGAAGGAAGTATTGACTGCTCCTAAGAGCTTATACATCAATGACAGTCAGAACGGAGCTAAAACTGCTGTTAAATGGGCCCTTGAGATGATTCCATACTTTTATACTTGTCCTATTTTCCACTCAGTAGATAATATTTGTATCTTTATGTTGGCAGATAGTAAATCTGAGTCCTATGCTACTCAATCAACATGAGATAGGTTATACAGAGATATGAAATGGGATTCAAGCCCGGTGTTGGTGGCACATGCCTTAATCCCAGCACTTGGGAGGCAGAGACAGAGGCAGAGGCAGGTAGATCTCTGTGAGTTCTAGACCAGCCTGGTCTACAAGAGTTAGTTCCAGGACGGCCTCCAAAGCCGCAGAGAAACCCTATCTCGAACCCCTCCTCCACACAAAAAAAGAAAAGAAAAAAAGAAATGGGATTCAAAAAAATGATTGTGTTTTCTTTTCTTTCTTTGGCTCAAAGTAACTTCATGGCTCCAGACAACTTTCCATGTTCTAAGCTTTCAAAAACAGAACTGACTTACCTGGATATTTGAATGGGTAAAAGCTACTAGAACTCTAAATTTCTCTGTATATATGTGCACATGTGTGATAAAGTATATGCTTGAGCTGTTGAGAATTTCAGATCAGAAATTAGGTCTTGAGCATTTTAAAAAGATACAATAACTATTGTAGCCTAAAGTGTTAGGGTCAGGCACTTTTTCTCTCCATCTTTTTGAAAAAACTAGAGTACTTTGCCATAATTTAACATAGGAAAGTATTACATTATGAAAGCTAATAATATACCTTGTATTAACTGCTGTTTATTTCAGGTACAATGTAAGGTGCTTTATAATGAGACTTAATGGCTCTTCATTACCAGCCTGTAAAATGATCAGTATTATTAACCCTATTTTAGTGACAAGGAGGTCAAAATACAGAGCTAGCGTATTAGAAGTGGCAGATAATATTTTCAAAGCTGGCAGCAGCATCCTAAGCCCATGTTCTTTCAAACAGTATTGCTTGGGAAGCCTTTACCACAGAACATGGACTTCCTGCCACACTTTCTATAGATTGATCAGAGAAAAATGGACTCATCCCAAAGCATGAGAGTTGGTGTCTGGGCAGTCAGTAGGTTGCAAATTCCAGAGGAAAAAGTCACCTTTCTTTCTTTTCCTGAGATCATCAGAGAGAATGAATGGAACCAGCCACCAAGTATAAAAGTGTTCTGGGTAAGGCCCCAGAATGACCTTGTATTTCAAGAGGCAGTTGGAGGTAGCTTGGCATCAGTCCAAAGAGCAATGGCTCTTTCGCAAATGGATTTTCTGTACATCACTGTCCCCATGGAACAAGTTACAAGTTAATCAAGGGATGAGAGGAGAGAAAGGGTGGCACAGCGGCTGTGCCAGCATCAAGTCCCTGTTTTTCTCTAAGCTAACTGTCAGGATGGAGGGCTTCCCTCTGATGTTAAACCCCAGGAAGTTTCATCACAATCCCTTTCAAGCTATGTTCCTCAGAACACTGTGCAGGTGACAAATGCATTAGTCTCCTGACAGCGTTGGCCTGGAGCTGGAGTGCTCTATAAATACCACTCTGATAGAACCATCTCAAAATAGCAGGGAATCAACCCAACATTAGAAGGAGTGAGTGACCCAGTCTTTTTCACACCAAATCTGAAGGGTGAGAAAAAACTTGAGGTTCAGCTGGCATTTCTGTGATGCATTTTTGTTTCAAAGACAGAAATGTGCATCTGTATGAAAATTAGCATTCATCTAGCACCACAGAAGGAAGCTTATTAAAGCTCCTTTCCCAAAACTGTCAAGGTGACAGTGTGATCTCTTTTTGACAAAATACTCGACACATTCATGAATTCATTTCACCTGCAAAATTTCTATTCCATTGTTAAAATTGTTATTTCTTTGGCTTTAATTAAATGCATTTTCTGGATTTTACTCAAAAGTAACCAGCAGACTAATTTTGTAATGGTCCAACTAAGCCGTGACCCAACTGATATTTTGCAGAAGAATGATTGAAATTGGAAGGCAGGTGTCATGCCAATTTTGTGGAAAGAAAGGAAGTTACATCTGCATTTGTGGCTTTCTTGACTCTGACCTGTACTAATGGCTTCATTTTCTTGGTATTATGCAAGGAAGCAGGGATGTGGGCTCAGATTTCCCAGGATTCAAGACACCAGAAAAGGACTTCAGATGCACTCAACAAAATCTTCCCTGTAAATCGAGAGTAAAATCACATGGTGAATTTGAATTTCTCTGGTTGTCCACTAATGTGACACCTCACATCTTTTCATCATAACCTTTGGACTTGAGATTCTCAGGATAAAGGAGGAGATGTTTATTTGGTCCCTGTGTCCTTGTAGTAAACAAAAGAAAACAGCAAGATGTGTTTGAATATTTGTAAAAATATTGTAATATAATGAAATTCTGGCTGTCACATCACATATTTTTTCACTTGGCTTCACAACTGAGCAGCTTTTGAATTAGAAGTAGGCATTATATCTTCATTCCCTCTCCAGGAAACTAACCTGTTCACTTTAGAGTGTGATTTAAAAAAAAAATCTTTCTGTGTTGTTTTCAGTTAACTTTTAAAAATGACTAAATTCAGGAAAGAATGAATGCCAAACATTTGAAAGAAAAATCAGTTCACCACTGAAGTCAGGGCACAGGCATTAGAAATCAAAAGGCAAGTGGAGATCCCCAAGGCAATGTGTCCCACAGAGGGTCCGAGGCCCTGGTTTCCATCTAATAGGCTTGTACACTATGGCAGGTGAGAGCAGAGCATTCTAGAAAGAACTGAGATAATGCAGCCTCATTAAACCAAAAGGATTTTGGGAAACTTAGATGCTACAAAGGGCACTCATTCATGCATGCACAATTAGAAAGAGAAACAAAGAATCCCAAAAATTCTTCTTTTAGGACAGTTTTTGAAATGATTGCTTCATCACAGAGTGGGTATTTCACCCATGTGCTGACAATTTTAAATGTCCCTTCCAGCCACCAGACATATCAACAACCAGACACATGAGTGATTTTGTGGGATGTCCTCAGATGTCTCCAGCCATTGTTGCTAGCTGGCTGCAATCACATGTGAAACCTTAAGTGAAAGCTTCCTGGCTAGGACTCTTAACCACAGGCCTTTGAGAGAGAGAGAGAATATCATCTTGTTGTTTTAAGCTGCTGCATTTTTTTTGAAGCAACAGATAATGTGGAAGGCAGGGCAGGGGAGGGATCTGAGCCCAGGGCTTTGAAAGTTCAGGAGACAAAGGAAAACAAGAACTAAAAATCATTTGGTCATTGTGTGATTTACTATAATGATGGACCTTTGCAAATGGATATTATATGTAGTAATGAACACAATTGTGAGGGGGTTGGTAGAAAAAGCAACTATGATGACAATTTTCTGCATTAAAATCTTAGAAAATCATGGATCAGCTACAAGTTGCCAAGCTCTTTAGGACTCTATACTAAAGTCCCAGGGGATTTTCTTGGAACGTTAACCCTAACTGAGTGAGGTAGCTAATTGAGGGTAGCTGATAGGTTCCATGTGGACAGTAGAATGGGGTAGTTCTGAGAAAACACATTCCTGATATGTTGGCTTTCAATTCTGAGAATTGTAACCCTAAGTATTTAGCTCAAATAAATGCCCTTGCAGAGATTAATGGCATTATGAGATTGCAGAGATTATGTCATCTAGGATTGGCTCATGAGAAATGGAGAAGGCACAGGACATGAGGATGGCATGTGGCCTGTACTCCTCACTGCCCACCTTAGTAGGTACTTCTTTTTCTCCCCCTGGGTGTCATTCTGAGCTGGAAGACACTACAGAAATTCCTAGCCCTCTCAGCAGCCTCCTTTACCATAATGCTAATAATATTTGCTTTCTTGAATTTCTTGTTCATTCATTAACTCAGATGCAAAACACAGAAAAGAATGTCTAGAAGTCACATAAGTAATTCCCCCAACCTGCTGTACGGGTGTGTCTGTGATTAGCATTGCAAATACCAAAGGGAAAGACCTGAATTTAGGGGAGCTAGAAGAGGTCAAGGAAAGAGTTTTTACCCTTAACCTATTCTGAAGACTTTTCCTCTAAGTCAATTATTTTACTTTTTGGTTGATTCCTGTAAGAATAAAGAATTTACACAGAAGGAATGCAGAAACAACTACTCTTAAGGATTGCAGGCTGCATGGCCAGCAGTAGATGACCAACAGAAGATGTACTCAACGGTACCTTTGGAGGTTCCTTGTCTCATAATGTCATGCCATGGCTTTATTCATTTTTATTTTTTAAAAATTTTACCTTATTTATATATAATTTTTCTCTTTTTTCTATCCTTCATGTCCTTTGTGTACATATTATGGCCTCCAGCTAAGTGTTTTTATGGATTTCCAAGTGTGCAAATTAAAGGGTCTCTGTATCTATATCTGTTTCTTGTACCTTTTCTTGGGCTTTCTTTCTGCATGGTTGTATTGTCCTTTTCCAATATGCTAGTTTTTGTTTTACCATATATTTTGTTTTATTATTACCTTTAGAAGCCTGTTTATTTTAAAATGAGAGCCAGAAAGGGGATAGATCCATTTGGGATATAATAAGGTGGTAAGGCACTAAGAGGATTTGGGGGAGTGGAAACCATAATCAAGATATATTATGTGAGAAAAATACTATATTCTATTTTATAAGATCTTTATTTGTATATACAGATAATGGACAAAAGTTGGGTCTCATAAAAATCTCTCCATCCAGACACCCTCTTGGCCATAAGAAATACATGGAAGAGAGAAAAGAAAGAATAGCTAACCATCCATACATGGCTTTCACTGATCAAATAGAAGAGAAAGCTAAAAGATGAGCAGTTCTTGGAGGCCATGATTACAATAATTACCCATATAACTACATTTGCTCAACAGCTGTACACCAACTCTGACATTGCCTGGCTATCTAGACAAACTTTCTTTCTGGTGCTAAATCCATCTAAATAACCAACCATTTAATATCCTCCCAGTTTGGCTTGTTACAAGATGATCAGACAGTAGTAATAATCAAGTCACTGTGGAAAGCAGTTTTAAAAATCTATTTTCAATAAAATAAATGAAAATACAAACAAAAAGAATATTATACAGTTCAAATTTTAGAAAACTAATATATTAAGTGTATCCTAATTGACTTTTATGTTTTCTTCTACAGAATTCATATATTTTCTCAAAAATGTCTAACTAATTTGTAAAATCCCAGTGATTATTACATGTATGCTAGTCATACATACGGTGTTTTACAGATATTTGTCCATGGCACTACAGACAGGAGGAATTCAAGAGAGTAGTGTTTTGTTTCTATGCCAACACACTTCATTTATAAAGGGTCTCTTACCATGATACCTGTATGAAGCATTATGTAATGCACAGTTTGAGTGACATCAGCTGCATGAACCAAATTATGATATGGATTTTTGTGCTTGGTGTACCCAACTTCTAAAGCTTCTGCAAAGGCAATTAGGCAAGAAACAGGAATCTGTGGAAAGTAATACTTATGATTATATTTTGGCTTAAACTGTTATGCTATATAAACATGAGCACAAAATGGAACAAATTAATAGTAAAAAGTCAGCAGTAATTTCAAGTTCTGTGTGATTAGTCTTGAAAAACCACATTATTGATACATTAGCCTGCAATTTGAAGCACTATAACACAAATGAACTAGCTTATACCACATGGCTCTGACTTTTTATGTCTTCCACAGCCAAGAAAAAAGACTAGTTCTTCACAGTATAAAATGCTCCAATATAAGCCACAAGGTCTAGTTCTCCTATTTGTAGGAGAAAATTAGTGACTTCCCAGTTCTTTCCAGTCCTTCCAGTGCTATGAGCCCCGAGCAAATATAAGTTAGAGCCTCAGACTGCTCAGAAATCTGAATCAAATCTGTTGCTTAGATGCTTCTAAGTGAAACAGATTGGAAGACACATCTTTCAGGTCTGATAAAGGCTCCTAGTAAGTTAGACATGGTGATGGAATACTGAGATGCCAGAGCCCCTGTGGTGAATCAAGAAGACTGAGTGTTCCAAGCTAGCCTGTGCTACATGGCAAATTCAAGGCAACATTGGGCTATGTAGAATGATAATGCCTCAAAATAAAGAAAAGGGCTCCTTGTGCAGTATAAGGAACCTAGAATCTATTGCACTTCTTCAAAACATAGTTTCTGTCCTGATAGGATTTTGTGAAGAATCTAGGGGGTTCCTGTTGGGTTGAAGTTTCCAATCTCATGATGCACAGACATGCAGTGAGTTGTGGTTTCTTCAGAGGGTGAGTACAGACCCCTAACCTGTGACCTGCTAAAACAATATAAAGGCATTGATCAATGACCCGGTGTGTTGTACTGTCATTGTTATTCAAATAACCAGCTCTCTGAGCATCTCACTGTTGAAGTTTCTGACCTTGAATCGGTTGATAAGATCATATCTGGTAAACAGTTCATAAATCATAAACTTGAGACTATGCTCCCCGCTTGCTTCATTTAAGGCAAATACGTCAAAAGACCATTTATCAACCTCCTGTAGAAAAAGAGTCAACATTTTAGATGGCAATAGTATATAATTATGCAGCTTCTCATGGAAAATTATTTAGAAATTAAGCATTGAACATAAAATAGGTAACATTGCAAATTTTACTGGAGTCTGATTCGGCAGGGCTTCAGGAGTGAGGCTGACATGAATAATATGTCATCAAGGCTTTCCCTCAAGTTCCAGGGTTATGAAGCTGATGTAATAAACTTGGGAACAGTCTAATGCAGTCATCTTTGCTCTCTCTGACTTCCTGCCATAAATCATTTCCTAGGATGGCTCCATTTTAAGGCAGGAGAGCTGGTGTATGGCTGATGTTAATTGAGGGATAGAGGAAAAAGAGTACTGGTTTTTGTTTCTATTCATCACCCACCCGCTTCTTCGATTGGCCTTTTAGAATAAAGAATCATTAAGTTGGCTTAAAGCACTGATATTATCTGTCTTCTTTTGGGATGTAAATTCCAGAGGGAAGCAGGCCCTTAGCCTCCTTCACATATCAAGATGTGTGAAGATGCCTCCTGTGAGAACAAGGAGTGGGTCATTTGATGGTGAAAAGGGTCAGTAGCTTTGCCATTTCGCACACTTCTGGGGGGATGTAAGCAGGTTTATAGGGGAACAGGTAACACTGGGTATGTATCCCTTCAGTGGCATTGGGAGCAGCCAGTAGGGCTAACTGGCCACCACAGTCACCACAGGGTTTTGCTGAAGAACACTTTAAAAAGTACACTATTCTGTTCTGAAGTAGGTGCTGGCTGTCAGTAAAGAACACCTGGTGAATACATGCATGTACTTTTGCTCGAGCTCACTCCCGAGAGTGAGCGCACACGAGCACGGGCACACACACACACACACACACACACACACATACACACACACACACACACTGGCAGATTCACTGTTAGTAAGAGGACAACTTAAAGCAGTGATTAATTTTGTATGTGTGTCAATTCCATTCATAGTTTCTTCCCTTTATATGAGCATTGCTATGGGAACCAACCTTAGATGCTGTGAGATGCTGAAGTTAAATCAGACATCTGATGAAGCCTCTTTAAAAATGTGTCCTGGGAATGATGATAGTGCTAGCTTCAAATGGTACTGTAAAATGCTTGGTCACTTATGTGTGGGGCTCTTCCAAGCTTTCCTGTGCATATGGAGGTGAGAGGACAACTTTGCTGAGTAGGTTCTCTCCTTCCATCTTTAAGTGGGTCCCAGATATTTAACTCAGATCACCAGGCTTTTGCAGCAAACTCCTTTACCCACTGGACCATCTTACCAGCCTTTTTTTAATCACTTAGAATCAAACACCAATTAAGTCTTTGTTTACTTGCATGCGGTTGTTTACTTCCTCTCGTTTGGCTCCAATATGATGCCTAAGCACTCACTTTTATCTCTTTGTAAATTAAAAATCTAAAATTCTTGTTAGAAGGAGTTTTAGCATTGCTAAAGCTCAGAGGAGGCTAATAAATCTTTTATCAAATTCCAGAGCTAACAAGGAAGAGCTGGTTCATACTTTCAAGGCTTCAGGTTAGAGGCTGGGCTAAGGGTCCCCTCTGGGAAAATATGGGGCTCTACAGGCAGTGATTTACTCATGTCACCTGCAGAGGATGTTTAGCACCCATGCTGTCAGACTGGCATGGGGAATTTTTCAGAATGCACATTCACTTAAATGCTCTTCACTCAGTGATGCCTACTCCTCAACCTTACGCTGCATATGGTTTCAATCAACTACATTGCGCAAAACCCTGTGTTCATATACCAAAATACTTTAGTTCTTTTTAGGCAAATATTTTAAAATTTAACAACAACAAACCAGTTTTGTGGTATACAGTTGAAGAAATAATAGAGGTGGCAAAAATATTTCAAAAACAGCAGTTTTTTGAATATTTAGTACATATTAATGTGTCACTAGAGTTACATGTTTATCTTTATTGGAGTATTGGAAATACTCCAATACATTGGAAATACATGAAAAAGCATCATGAGGCCGGGTGTTGGTGGCTCACACCTTTAATCCCAGCACCCAGGAGGCAGGGGCAGGCAGATCTCAATGAGTTCGAGGCCAACCTGGTCTACAGAGTGAGTTCAAGGTTCAAGGACTACCTCCAAAGCAATACAGAAAAACCCTGTCTCGAAAATCCAAAAAAAAAAAAAAAGCATAAAGAAAGAAAAAACATCATGAAACATGAAGTCTTTTAAAACTGATAATATTTAAACCCTGTGTACATCAGCAGAGCAAAGTACAGATGCTAAGGACAAAAAGAAAACACAAACAATAAGGGTTGCAAATTAAAAACAGGGAAAAAATTTAAAAAACAGAAATGAAGTGTAAGACCAAAAGAGGAACACTATTATCTTGCAGGTTAAGGTTTTTGTTTATAGTTAAAGAATAAGGTGATGTTTGTCCTGGGTTAAGTCCTTGCAAATTAAGGTTTCTATTTGTAATTAAGAATAAGTCCCTGTTTCATAGATCTGATATAAACTGCAAAACATGTTTTCAACCTACACTAAAATTGTGACCCCATTTCCATGATACATAGCCTTACCCTTGCTCCTTCCCTTTCATTGTATCTTTCTAACTCTTGCCCCCATTAAACACTGTCCCTCCTGTAAAAGGGACCTCAAGAAGTTGGAAGGGGCTGCTCTCTGACATCCTGACTAGGAGAGAGAAAGCCAGTCTGGCCAGACCCTGGTGCTTGCTTCAACTGAATGATCACGGACTCAGTTTTTCTCCTCAAACTTTCCAGTTTTAACAAAAGACAGAATCTCTTGATTAATATAAGAAAATCACCATCAGGTTGTTTTAGGAGACAAAGCTGGGTCCTTGAAACCATTAAGAGACAGACAAAAAGGACTTTAGAATAAACAGCTTACAAGACTTTCCAGTGGAACAAGCAACTGTGAGCTAGCCACACTGCACGCCTGTGTGTTACATATGCCATGTGTAAAATGGAAATATGTGAGTCAGCAGCTTCCTGAGGCAGACTCTCACTTCTAGTCATTTCCTGTACACACAACACTGCAATCATGCATGGGACATAAGCTGGGCAGTCTCAAGAGGAGCCAGACACAAGACAGAAAAGTGTGGTTGTTGTTGGTTAGTTTATCAATTTTATACTTTCTCAGACTTAAGATCTTGAATAATTTTCTTCTTATGTTTTGTTACTAAGCACACACTGAAATACCTTTCTAAAACATAATATAAATGTAAGAAGATATGTGTGTTCTCAAAATGATGCCGTCTCCAAGTGGAATTCAAGAGCCAAGTAAGGAAAGCTTGGAGGAGGAGTTCTTACACGCATGTGTTGACCATGTGACCATGGAAGGGTGTTGATAGGTACTGACTGTTAGCACAAGTCACATAGTTGTCATATAACTCTAGACAGAGTCAAGGCTTGGATAGCTTTCCATTTAACAAATGCTCAAAAGAATTTTTATGTTGTAATATGTAGACTGCAGCAAAGACCTGCTCTCATTTTCTCCCAGCCACTTGAGGAAAAAGAAATGCATGTGATTATTTTACAAAGGAAAACAACTGGAATTGTTTCACCTTGAGTGGTATTATGACAGCTGCAGGGTATGTCAAACCAACCATGTGATAATTCTTCCTGTACATCCTAAAAAAGACAGAATAATTGCAGAGTTAACATTTGTTCATCTGCTTAACACTTTTAGCTATGCGCTCAACTATCAGGTAAAGACAATTCTGGAGTTCTGCACTTTGTACTCACACTGTGACAAAGGTGATAATAACAGCCATTGTTTCTTTGGGTGACAAGGGATATAGTATTATCTACTCATAGCAACTCTGAGAAATGATCTTGGTTTCCAAGAAAGAACAGTTTTTCCTGAACTTCATACAATTAACAGGTCAACTGTACTCTCCCTGGCCTATGACACTTTCCACAGGACACCCTGTCTGTGGCAGCTGAATATTCTTGTTTTGTGTCCATTTGGGTACCAAAAGTTTTAGATGGAGCTGAGTGGCATGAACATGCTTCCAATTTAGATTTATTTATTTGTATTTTTCTGTTTCAGAATGGCTGCAAGAGGAAACAGCACCATCAGAATTTACTCAGCTCTTTGTTAAGGATATCATAAAAGATTATATTGATAAAGATAACTTAAGACTTCAAATTGCTGTCCAATATTATTTTAAAAAAATTATTCTGAGAAAATGTTCTCTCCAGGTTCATAATAATCCAACAGCAGTATATTCTTATTCATTTGTAACTTGTTTGTTTCTGATAGGATAGAAAGCTAAAATGATGAAAATTACGTATCAGGTAGAGTCTAGTCAAGAAGACCCTAACATACATAAAAGGAAACAATAGGCCACTATTGGGAGTGTGACAGGTTTGTGACTACACCAAGGTTCTGGAAAGACATGGTTTCAAGTATCAACTGTCTCTTGCTTTTTATATCCGACTGGCACACAACAAGCTGTATTCCTTAGACTACATTGCTATGACATTTCACCTTGGGAATATAAGGAAAACACTATAATTTGATTAAATATGACAGATGTGGTCAATATTGGAAATAGTCAAGGGAAATCTGGGCAGTATGGCACATGCCTTTAATCCCAGCACTCAGGAGGCAGAGGCAGGAAGATCTCTGAGTTTAAGACCAGCCTGGACTATAAAAGGAGTTCCAGGATAGCAAGAGCTACACAGAGAAACTCTGTCTTGAAAAAAAAGAAAAGAAAGTAAGCAAAGGAAGGAACGGGGGGAGGGAGGGAGGGAGGGAGGGAGGGAGGGAGGGAAGAAATAGTAAAGCTGAAAATATTCTGCATTTTTAAAAAATAAGAATGACTGTGGAAACAAAAATATTTTTGAATCTGTGGTCTGTGAATTAAAAACCCAAAAAGACATTGCTGTAAATAATAATAATAAAAAGAAAAAACAAGTAATTTATCATGCTTTCCTTTTAAATATTGACTTTGTAGTAGCTCAGAATTGACGATGTGTTTAATTATGTGTTTAGCCTACTCTTTCTTGAAAGTCCTTCTCCCATTTCAGCACAGAAACTCTGGCACTTCTTTTCTGTTTCAATTTCATGTTTACTTTAAGTAATCATGGTGTTTTCAGATGTGGGTGATCAGTATAGCAACAAACTTCTTTATTGAAAGACCTCAGGAGAGTTTATAATAAGAAGGCTTTTATTAGTACCCCATGGAGATAAGTATAATTACTCTAATCCTGCTGAACAAGGAAAGTGCTAATTGCACAACAAAGGATCCAGAAAAATATTTATTGTTAATAAAGAAATGGAGTTGTTGATTTTGAGGAAACGGTCTTTATCTGGCTGTATTTTTTCTATCGTTATCATGAAGAAAAGAGGGTTGGGGTGAAAAGGAGCATTGAACAGGAAAATCATCAGTACAAAAGCTAACAAGGACCCTGTAAGCATTACCAAATCAGTGTAATTTCCTGGTACAGGAGGGAAGAGAGGCTGGGGACACATAGAGGGCCCATGCTTTGAATCCTAAGTTAGGCACTTGGTAGCCAGGTGGCCTTTGGAACAATCTTTAATAGTTCACTTATAAAAGGAGAATCACAAACTTTCTGTGAAAAGTGAAGTAAATACTGGGTGCAATCTAATAAATACCCAACTGAATAGAGTGGTCATCACTATTACCATAAGTATCTTCACTATGTTCCAGACAATTCTGTTGGTTCCAACTATCACAAAACCCAGAGCTCCCTGGCCCCAGTGGCTGTTCTGAAACCAGGTTTCCTGGACTGGGAAATAGGCTATGAATCTGAGTATTACTTATTAAATGGAATGAAAAAGGCAAGGATGATTGCCCTCTTAAAGTAATTTAAAGAATTCTGTATTATTTTACCCTTCATAATCCCATCATTAGGGATAGAAATATAAAATTATAAATTTTGTTATGCAAATAAAAAGGAAAATCAACACAACTCTTCCAAAAATGCGAGTGAATGCAGATGTCTTCATGCAGCTGCCTTCTGTCTCATTAACCAGGTGAAAAAGACTAATGAATTTCCTGGAATCCAATAAGTGGCAAGTGGTTGGAAATGATGCTCCAAAATATGGCAAGATGAAAAAAATGGCCAGAATTCACTTAAATGTAAGGGGTGCTGGGTCTGAGCTAGGTGACAGAAGCCTGTAGTCCTAACTCTCCAGAAACTTGAGGCAGGGGGAATTAAAAATTCAGGGCCAGCCTGGCCTAACTAGTCACTATCTCAAAAACAGTGCCCGATATGTAACTGTATAATCTGTCCTTCAATCTGGTCAGTTCCAAAACTATTAATATTTCTTCTTTACATGTAATTAAATGCATTCCTTTTTAACCTGAGGAAATCCTGATAAACACTTCTCAGTTTTGCCAGACATGTTTATACTTGGTAATCCCGAAACATCTCATTTTATGGAGAGAAAAGTAGCCTTTCCTCTTAAAGACTAAAATAACAACACATGTGAAATTTGGCCACGTTAATAAGTGTAAATGCTGAAAACTAGGGACCTCCCATCATGTCAGGATCTTCTCTCAGTGACACAAATGCTAAAACCTAAGTCCTCTAAAGTGGAATTGAGAGAGATCTCATCTCATGATGGAAACAGAAGGATGAAGTCTTTTCTATTTAGTACAAACAAAAGAGACTCACTTGACTTTGAAATAAAGATTACTTCCCATTTAGGATTTATTCTATGAGTTATTGTAATTTTGCTTACATAAAATGGATAACTGAAGATATCTGGATTATTTATAAACAGTTATCTATAAGGTATGTTTCTAAAGGGGTATGATTTCAGTCTTCCTGTTGGCCTAGTAGAAATAAAAAGAAAACATCCAAGACAAGGTGATTTTGTTGTGCTCATGCTCATCACAAGTTCAAGCTGACCACGCTAGTTAGATTGGTGATGGTAAGTGTCCTCCATAGTTAGACTATGGACCCTTAGAACTTTAATGAACTGAACATACTTGTTGCCTTTCAGAGCCCCTTTTCTTGGGATTTGAACCATGCTGCTTACCTTTCCACAAAAATCCCAGCCTGAACAGCATGGACAATGCTTCGAAACTTTGGTTTTTCCTCCGTTTTCTTTTTCATCAGCCCCATTTTCCGTGTGAAGGTAGAAGCCAACCAATCCCGGACTTCTGATGGAACTGAGTCAGTCTGTATGTCACTGAGCTCATCTTCAGTGTCCAGAAGTTTTCTACAGACACATACATAGGTAAACACTGGGGAAGGCAAACAAAGACTAACAAAGAAACAGACATGTTTTCTTCATTTCTTTTATTAATAGCACACCATTCTCTAATTATTCCTTAACATGAACTATTTATAAAAATTGAGTTAACATTTAGAAAGCTCTTAAGTTTTCAAGCTGATCACTTGCTGGGGGCAACGAATGATACATGGTAGCATCTGCTGCTTCTCAAATATTGAAGAACAGTGTTAGCAGTGGTTAAGTGTCACTAATATGCCATTCTAACGGCTTAAAACAAAGAAAGATGGAATGAAAATTCATAAATAAGTGTGTGCTAGTCAGGAAGCAATTAGTTCAGGAAGAAAGGGAGGCTGAGGCTATAAAAACTTATTTAATTTTTTCTACATAGTACAGATAGTAAGTGCTATTTGAATTTTTTGAAGGTTCCAAAAGTCATTCCTATGTGCTATTTCAATGAATAAGTCTTTTCTAAATTAGTGAAATAACTTAAGAATTCTAAAATAATCTTTCAACAATATCACTACAGATTTTAAAACAGAAAAAAAAATAAGAAAGAAACAAGGCCGGTGAGATGGTTCAGCCTATAAAGGACATGCCTTGAACTTAAAGACCTGAGTTAAATCCCCAGAGCCCATGTGGAAACAGAGATGGAATTCCTGAAAACTGTGCTGAGGCTGAGCTTCATGTGTTAATTGCAGCATTCAAGCACACACACACAGGGAGGGACACACACACACACACACACGCACGCACGCACGCACGCACGCACGCATGCACGCACGCACGCACGCACGCACGCACGCACATACACACCATATATATTCATAAAAGCAGTAATAATTTTTAAAATCAAGATAAATGGTTGGAGTTGTAACATAGTCCATGGGGAATTAAGGATGCTCTCTTACCCTAGGGATGCCCAGATCCTCATCCTCACATGTTCAAAGCCCATTGACAAAATATCAGGTTATTTGTATTTAACCTATGAGCTTTCTCACAATTTCCTTAAATAAGTTCTCAATTTCATATAATTCCTAATAAAATGTACATGATACTATATATATATATATATATATAGTGTGTGTGTGTGTGTGTGTGTGTGTGTGTGTGTGTGTGTGCTGTGTTATTTAGGGAAGAATGAAAAAAAAAATGATTGTACTCATTCAGTCCAGATGCAATTTCTTTTCCTGAACACTTTTAATACCAAGTTATTTGAACCCACAGAGATGGTGAGCAGGAATGCCAAGGGCTATGTTGAAAGCTCATTTTAGGAGACTATCCTCTCTAAGCAGGAGGAATACTGCCAGTCGAGAGCTGCTGTTAACATGAGGATGAAGATTTCATGAGTTTAGACACAAGTGTCCCAGCACTTGGGAGGCTAAGGCTCCTGATGTCAAGTTTGAGGCCAACCTGGGCCAGCTCCAGATGAAATCTTGTCTCTTCAAAGCCAAAGCATCATACAGGACTGCCAGCCAAGGACATCAGCAGGGTTTTACGGAGACAGTGCAAATTAACTTCTGGGAAGTGATGTGAACTGGTTGCTAAGAAGCCATAGCTGCCACAGAGGAGGGTGCTCAGGGAATATCCTGCCTATAGGCCTGTCAGAGTCTATAACTGAGAACTTCCTAATGACTTGAACTGGAAATAATAAAGGAAAGATTTCCCAGTTGATCCAAACTCAGCTACACACACCATTCTACTCTGTTTATAGAACACAAACCAGCTTGTCCTGTCAATTGACTATTTCCTTGAAAGTGCACCAGATCAATAACCCAGCTATCCTTGGCACACTATCTTTGACCTTTGTGTTCTATGAATCAACGTGATCCTTTAAATGGACCCCTCTGTGTGTTCCTCCCTTCTGTATACATACACAATATATAGCTTCATGATATTACGTAAGAACGAATGTATTTATGAAACACCTTAGTAAAAATAAATACTACTTAAGTGCTGGAGTTACAAAACTATATGTACACATAAGACAAATATATACAGTTGAATATTCATACTGATTAATACTCACTTTGTGATTTTTTTAAGTTTCTTTTGCTTCTTGTGTTTGAACGAGTCTGTTTTAACACTAGACCACTGGCATTGTAATTCAAAGTAAAAATTTTTTATGGCACTTTTGCCCATTTCAAGTTGGTTTCCTTAGCCCATTTTAGCATAATATTATAATGCATGCCTTGAAACTTTCATTACTTAAAGATTATGCCATTTCTATTATCTCTTATGCAGTGATCATCTAAAGCTACAGAGCAGGGCAGGTGGAACAGAAACCATTGTGGTGTAACACTATGATGTCACCACGTTCCTTGCATTCTCTTCTCCCTGTTCTTATCAGCTGACAGAAACAGAACGCCAGGTAGGTGGTAACCATTGCCCAGTTTTCCACCACAAATTTGTGTTGGGGATTTGAAGGCTGTATATCCTAAACTCATAAACTTACCCAAGACAGATGGCTAAACAAGACAAAAATCGATTAAAGACATAATAATCATTACTGGGGTGTATTACTCAGAAGTCTGGTAATCTGTAGTTATGCATACAACTCTTCATTGAGAAAGAGAATGTGACTTCAGGGGAAAAGAATTTATTTATTAAGGAATAGAGGAATAAAGGAAGCGCATGTGAAAAGATAGAAACATGGGATGCATCATCGTATACAGAAAAGACAAATCTTGAAGCAGCAACAGATACTTCTTTAGTGGCTCAATTGGTAAGGCAATGGTGTGGGGTATGATGCTTAGTTGTGTATTTAAATGATGATCTAAATGTTTCTATGAAGGTATTTTTTAACATATGTAGGTGGAGCAAAGTAAATTACCCTTCAAAATATGGATACTCATCATCAAATCAGTTGAAGGCCTTAAAGAAAACAATGGGGTTACCTTAAAGAGAAAATTCTGAGTTGGAATGACTTCCAGATTCAAGACTATAGCATCAATTTCCTATAATTTCCAGCTTGCCAAGCTATCTTGCAGATCATAAGGCAGTCCTTAAAACATGCTTCCCTGCCTCTCTAGTGTGTGAACATCATGGAGTAACTACCAGTGTAAATTAGGTAGCTACAGGGTAAGGTCTTCGTCCTATATTTATTTCTGAGAGCATTTGTTCCTAGTTATTGTTTTAATAAATAAAGTAAATCTTATCTGAAGGAGACATTTAAACACCATATTCTTGAGACATGTCAAAATTACTGTTAGCCTATAAAATGAAAAACTGAAAATTTCTGGGAGTGGTGTTGTAGACCTTTAATTCCAAGACTCAGGAGACAGAGGCAGGTGTGTCTATGTGAGTTCTCGTCTACATAGTGAGTTTCAGATGAAGCAGGGCCACATAGAAAGATCCTATCTCAATTTTTTTTTTTTTTTGCCAGGCAGTGATGTTGCACGCCTTTAATCCCAGAAGAGGCAGGCGGATCTCAGTGTGTTTGAGGCCAGCCTGGCCTACGAAGCTACACAGAGAAACCTTGTCTCAAAAAAATTGTAAAACATAACCTGTTCCTTCTATGACTTTATATTTCAAAAGGAAAAGACTAAATAGAGAAGGTAATGAGGAGACAATTATGACAGAAAACACTTCTTTGGATAAGGTCATCAGGAGTGGTGTCATTTAAGACTCAAAGAATGAGAAAGGATTTAAAATTGGAAAATGTAAGTGAAGCCCATTCCAGTCTAATGGAAGAGCAAGTGCAAATCCTCCTGGGGAGGCAGAATAACAGAAATATTTGAGAGCAGAGAGAAGGACAAAGGTGACTATCAGATAACAGAAGAATTGGGTTGAATTAATGGCAAGATTAACAAATATCTCCATGTCTCTGACATATGTTGTTCATCATTGCCCTCCTCCCATCCCTTTTCTTATTTATCCTATCAGTCCTTTCCTGTCTTCTTTATCCTTGTAGTAGTAGTTTTTATGTATTCTATGTTGGTTCTTTGGTTTTATAATTGTTTTAATATGTAATTGTTCATCTTTAATGAAGAGTATGTCCTACTGAGTCAGCAAGTTGAAGGACCAGGAGATGAATACAGCACACAAGAAAGAAACTAGATGTGCCAGGATGTGTTCAGTCAGCACATGGAAGAAATACCTTAAATCTCCTTTTGCTTCAGCTGAACACAATAAGAGGTGATGGGTCTGCGCTACAGAAGTATTTCTGACCTAGAAGATCAGCTGCAAAATGGCCTGAATGTCTTCATCCATCATGCCTCTGATGCCTCTATTGTACTAGCCTGTGGGATGGGGGGTGGTCTCCATAGTCAGCCAGTATTCCTTCACACTTTCATTATAGGAAAAAAATGGTGGTTGTTCTTCTATTAGTTAAGTGTCATGCTCTAGAGAACTGTGCTCTGCTGTGCCTGTTAAATGACAGAGAACTCTATACTAAAACTTTTAACTTTCCCATCTTCATCTCCCCCAAGAGTAACCACTCATAACAGTTTAGTGTGTATTACTAAATATTTTCTAGTCATTTGTTGGACATATGCCAATTCTGGGGCTGTGCCTTGCACCAGGGTAGGTGTGGGCCATACAATACTACAAAAAAAAACAAAGTAATTCTGCTCTCACTGTCTTTTTCAGTCCTTTACATTAGACAATGAGCATTAAATCAGCAAACAAGTCAGTGAACATTCAAGAATCATCAAGTAGAGGGGGTACTAAGAGGAATACTATACTTGGAGTAAAAAAAAAAAAATAAAAAAACAGAAGGACCGTGCTTTCTGGGGTCAGAGGTTTTCTACAAGAATACAATTCTGTTACCTATTTTCCTCACTCCCAGCTTTCTTCTTCTTTTGTATTCACCCTTCTTGCAATCTTCCTTGAATTCACTTCCTCTTACCACCACTCAGAGATTTTTGATGTTTATCTGATCAACCTTGACAGGGCAGACACCAAAATCATAATATAATATGGACTAGCATCTTTGAACTTTTATAGACAGAGTTATAATCTTTTTCGGATGTGGAAATATCTGAATA